TATATATTATATATTATATATTATATATTATATATTATATATTATATATTATATATTATATATTATATATTATATATATTATATATATTATATATATATACACATATATATTATACATATATATAATATATATATAATATATAATATATATAATATATATTTACCGGTATATATATTTATATTTTATATCTATATTATCGTTATTTACATTATATTATTTTCCATCAATTTGTTAGAAAAGAAATGATAATGATTCATTGTAATGATTTTCGCTGTTGGTCAGCTCTTAAATTATTATTATTATATACCGTAGTCTATATCTTACTTAAACTATTATCTCATTTTAAACATAAAAAGAACCTAATACAACACTTTAGCGCCTTTGTCTTAATATATATCTAATGTGACTATTTTAGGAAATTAAAAAACACCTATTATAATTTTAAAGGCTAATTTCACGTTCAAGTGCTCATTTCGGTTTCCCTTATATTATTTTTAACTCCCGACTTTCTGTATATTCACCCTTTTTTTTTTCTTTTCATTTTTTTTTCGACAAAAGTATTTTCTAAAAGTTATCCACCTATATTTTTCATATTTTTTACTATTAATTCTCTGTTATATATTGGTAAATCATTTCATTTCCCTTACCTGCTAAAAAATTTATCTGTTCTTTTCTGCCTTCAGCAGTCCTGCGGTGTATCATCATTGCTATTGTATTTCTGTGTGAAACTTGTGTCTCCCCTTTCTGTTAACTGGTATAATTTTTAATTTATCAGCCTTACGTATGTATTATATATATATATATATATATACACATATACATATATATATATATCTATTTTCTTATTTATTTTTATTATGTATTAAACATTTGAAAATTTTTTCTCTTTTCTTAATAAATTTTTCTTTAGAGTCTTCGAAATTGTCTATATTTTTTGTTTTTTTTTGAGAAATTTGGCCTTCTCCTGTTAATTATATTAGTCTTATATTTTATATTCAACAGGTATCGTATTATAATTTCTTTTTTTATTGTGAAAATCCTCACCCCTATTCTATCCCTTTTTTTTTCCTTTCTTTTTTTATTTCTTTGAGCGCGCTCTTTCACGACACGTCTGGTATTAATTTTTTTTTTAATAACGAATATCGATTATCATTTCATTTTATTTCTTGTTCAAAATTTATTTCCATTTTGTTTCTTACTCCTTTTTAATTTTATTTTATTTTATTAATTTTAATTAAAAAAAATAAATTTTTTTTTTTTTTTTTTGTTTTTGACGTTCGTTATTTTATTCCTTAAATATCAACATCATTTATTCATCGACTTTTATTTGTCTATATTAGTCACTAAACAACAATGCCTTCACCGACAGACCAGAATCATACAAATATTAATTCCTCAAATAAAGATTCTTCTGATGCACTTAAAGAAAGCACCATCGATGATACGACAATTGTAGATGATACGTGTGATGTCACTCGTAATGAATCCGATGTGGGCGCGAGCACATCTTCTTCCCCATCTCAAGTTACTACTTCATTTTTCTCTGATGGACGTGTCACTACCGCTTCTTCCACACCCGCTGTAGCTTCATCAAACGATCCTCAAACCTCTACTGTTCCTGTTGCTCAAAAATCCCAAAAAACTCCAAAACAATCTTCTAATAGACCCACTAGAAAAACTAGAGGTGCGCCTAAACCGTCCATCATCGCTTCAAATCCCTCGAATTTACCCGATTTATCGGTTGACAAAAAGGATTCTATTCCGGGCTCATCTCCAAATGCCTCAAATCCTACTGCTTCTGCTTCATCCGCTACTTCTAATCGTTCGTTACAACCCATAATATCGGCTTCCGGTTCCTCTTCCTTATCAAATAATTTTCCTCGTCGTGGTTTACCTCAAAAAGACGTAACTCGTGCAAATATTGCTGATCGTTATCTAGAATTTATTCTTTATTGTAATCCTTCGGCTCCTTCCGATCTGGATGTATCTTCTCTCATCCGTTCTTTCAATTCCGTTCCTAAATCTGATGGTAAAACCTTTGAAACTTGGGTTCTTTTTCAACTTGTCTCTAAACATCATTCGGGCGAAATAAAAACTTGGACTAAATTGGCACAACAATTGGGTGTCGAACGTACTAACGAATCAAGTCCTCAAAAAATTCAACAATATGCTGTAAGACTAAAGGTATTTATATATTGTCTTTATTCTCTTCGTAGGACTACTATGTATGATGTACTGTATACCTACATATTTATTATTTAATTATATTTATTATTTAATTATATTTGTTATTTAATTATATTTGTTATTTAATTATATTTGTTATTTAATTATATTTGTTATATACTTTGGTTATACATATATATTTTATTATATGTATATATGTGTATATGTATATATATATGCGTTTTATATATTCATTTTATATATGTATATATTTGTTTTTACATAACTATTATATATATTGATATTGTTATATATTTATTTATTTTTGTTTTTTTTTTCATTACTATTATTATATTATTTGTTTTTATTTTATTTATTTTTCATCAATTTTTTCATTTTTAATACATTTTATATCATATATATATATATATTAAACTATTTTACGTATTCTTTTACAGAAATGGATGCGTTCAATTCATATCGATGCTTTCTTCGACTACATTTTATCAAGATCTAATGAATATTACGAAGATCCACTCAAAAATCCAACGGGCGCTGATGCTGGTAGTGGAGATGATGATGATAGTGATTTAGTTTTAAAATTAATTAAAAGAGCTAGTAGTAAACGTCAAAAAAGAAAATATACTCGTCGTAATACTGGTAGTAGTATTGATATTGGTAGTAATAATCAAAATGATGATAATATTGACGATGATGATGATTTGGATTTAGATGATACTGATGTTGCCCAAGAAAATCATCGAGGTAAACGTGTTAAGGCTGCTACTTATTCTGATGGTAGTGAAGAGGAAGAAGATGAACTTGAAGATGATGATAGAGATGTTTGGGAAGACGCTATGCAAGTCGATGATTCCGGTAAGCGAAAAAAGAATAGTGTTCAGGTAGGCTCAATATATACTCTCTATATACTCTATATATTCTGTTAGTTTGATTTTACCTGTTTATTTAGTTTAAATTCCTTTTTCATAATCTTTTATTTTTATAATGATTTTCCTTATTTTTATTGTATTTTTTTTCATATTCATTTTCCCTAATCATTTTATATTCATTTCTCTATTTTTTTTTTTTTTTAGATCATTTCCACTCAAGAAAAATTACCAAAACTTGGTAAACCGAAAAATGGCCACATTCCTACTCCTAATCCTTCTCCTACCAAATCGTCAGAAATGAAGCTTCATCATAATTCTGGTGATACAAGCCATTTTCGTGTAGTATCTTCTGGTGGTCCTGCCACTCAAATACGATGGCGAAGCATTTCCGTTGGTGGTGGACCTACACCTACCCAATCCGGCGATATTCCTTCCCCCCAACAATTCTCTCAATCTGTCACTTCAACTACTTCTCCTCCTCACAAAAATATTCCTCCTTCAAGACGAAAACAGAATTCTGATCCTTCTTCTTTAGGATTCGATACTTTTCGCCTTTCAAATAAACGTGGTCAACAAAAACAAGATAGATCTCAATCTCCAAATGCTAATTGGTCATGGTCTTCTCAAAATAATAATTTATCAAATAGCAATATTGGTACTCAAGATAATAATAATCCCGGTTTCTCTTATTCCGAACTTTTATTGCCTCCTAATACTGTATCAAGTGATCCTAAAGAAACTATCAACCTATATCAAGAAAGATTGGTTAAGGCTGTTGGAATGTTGGAAGATAGTCAGCGTAAAATTGAAATGTTGGAAAATGTTGTTCGCCAAAGAGAAGATGAAGTTAGGAAAAGAGTTGTTAGGCGCCTTAAAGATGATGTTGCTTCTGTATTTCAACGATATGAATGACTTAGATCTTAGATTGTGTTTACTCGTTTTGTCTTTTGGATATTTTTTTTGTTTTTAATGTTAGAAAGGCAAATTTTTTGTGGTGCATCTTCTTTTGGTTTATAAAAAAATTTGGTGCTAATACGCGGGCCATATGGCTATGTGGTTATGTGGATATTGTGGTTATGTGGATATTGTGGATATTGTGGATATTTGAATAAAAAAAAAAAAAGGCTTTTTTTTCTTTTTTTTTTTCTTTTTTTTCCTTTTTTTTTTTTCTTTTTTTTTTTGTTAGAAAAGTTTAATATCAATTTTTGATGAATTACCTGCTTTTTCTTATGAAAATAAACAAACAAAAAAAAAAGTCCGTTAGAATTAACAAACAAATAAAGTACGATGGTTACGATTTGGTTAATTATTACGTCTTCCTTATCATATTTTAAATAAACAATTACGTACGTACGAAAATCATACGTACCAAAACCATTAATAATCTGAAACATGAAAATAAAATTTATTATCGTTATTGGTTGTCTCGCATTTAATTATTATCATTGTTATTAAATTATGCGTACGTACGTATTATTATACCATAGGTTAATAATTTTAATTATATATATTAATAATTAATGTATTAATGTTTTAATTTATACGTAATTGAATAAGTGATTTGCCTTTCAGAATTAAGTTGTTTAATATTAATATTTTTTTTAATATTAATACCGATACGTATTAAATTAATTAATTTATTCTTAGTAATTATACGTCCTTATTTGGTATTAGTATAGAAGTGTATTCATAAAAAATTTATATTAAATAACTATGTATAAAATTATTTTATAATACAGTATGTAAAAAATCTTTACACGTATACAATATATACTGTATGTTAATTTTTGTACAATATATAACGTTTTTAAAAAATCAAAATATATATAGTAGCATTTGCTACGTATAATGTTTCAGATCATGGTAAATTCTGGTTATAAAATTTTTGGTCTAATTTATAATATAATTTTTATTTAAAAAAAAATATTTTTTTTATTTTATTATAATTTGTTTTGTTATTTTTTATTATTTTTTATTTGTTTTTAATTATTTTTTATGAGTATTGCTAATCTCAGGTTTAGGTTACAGATAACTCCTATAACTTTTGAGTTAGCAAAAGCTTTTCTAAGCCTCTAGTCTTAGTATTTTATAAATATAAAGTTCAAATAATATAATTTCTTTATTTTGTAAAAAAGTTTAATTGGATTTTATTAAAGATAGAAGCATGGTCTCATCTTTGAAAATAGTATTGTTATCTTAACAGGCTGTAAAATTTACAGCCTTGTATTTGACCAATCAAAATTGCAGAATTAATATGATCTGTAAATTTTTTTGTATAACAAAAACAAAGATTTTTTTATGAAAAAATCAAAAAATTATTTTAACACAAAATCTAGCTTATAAAACTGTCTTTAGTGTTATAAATAAAAAAATTTCTTGTTAAAACTTTAATCCAACTCTAACTTAAATAAAAAAAACTTTTTAAAATAAAAGTATAAATTTGTAGCTTGTTAATCATAGTAATTTTTTTTATATTTTATATTTTATTTTTTTTAAAAGGAGTAATATATTTGTAGCCATGACTACTGTAATCACATTCTATAAAAGCCAATCAAATTTAAAGATTAGGTGTAATGTAACACAATCAAGAAAATTCAAAGTAATGTTCATTTTGCCAAAATTGGCAAAAATTGGTTATAACTATACATGTTGACGAAATTATTTTAGGTTTCGGGTTACAAAATTAAAATTTGAAGACAAAATTATTTTTGACCTATTTTACTTAAAAGACGAAATTTTTTGATACTTTTTTTGAAGAGACAAAATTATAAAGAACATAACTACCTAAATTAGATTTGCTTTTATATATAAAAATTTTTAAATTGCTCTAATAGAGACGAAATAGGGGTTTTTTGAAAACCTATTTTGGTGGCATGTATAGTTATAACTCAAAATTGAGTATAAGAAACTACTCATTAGGTTCTAACAAAAAAATTCATTGCTAAATTTTACTATAAAACACACCTTTTTACCCACACACTATCTTCACCTCACCCTAACTCTAACTAACAAAAAAATATATTATTTTAGTTACAGCTACAGTAGTCTATGGCTACAAATATATTAATCCTTTTTAAAAATAATTTGTTTTTTATAATTTGTTATAAAATTATAGCTAGATATAATTTTATTTTTTTGTAAAATTTTGATATTTAATAAGCTAGATAGAATTCATAAAAGCTATTTATATACTAGTTAAGGTTATTTTAATTTATTTAGCAATTAAATATTATTTAATTATTAGCAAATTATACTAAATAACAAATTTAACAATATTATTATAGAACTTTGTATAAAATATTCTTTGAAAATAATATTCTAATATATAAAATTCTTCTCTTTTTCACTAATAAAATTACTGAATTCATGAATAGTATTTAATACTATTCAATTTTAAAAATAAAGTTTTTGAATTAAACTCTAAGTATTGTATATAGTGCTTTATAATATTATTTAACTATAGTTTTTATTTAATTTTTTTTGATATTTAAGATAAGGTCATGTGGATATTCTATAGAATAGGTGGGCAAACTCCGCAAACTCTGCAACTTCACTATTAAAAAATTAATGATTACTAATCATTAGCGAAGCTTATTTCTTATATTGTCCACCTATTCTACAGAATATCCGGTCATGCTTTTAGTTTTTATTATTAATACTTATCTACTGCAACCTATATTGCTAGTATTATTATTAATTTACATTATATAAAATAAACTACAAAAGCTTAGACAGTTATTTATGATTTATACCTATCAATATTTTCTATATTCTGTATATAATTAATCTGAATTTTGTTTTTTAACTAGCTATTTTTAGTAATTATTATAGGAGTTGATACTAAAATCAGCTGATACTAAAAATTTTTCTTAGTTTATTATTAAATTGTAAAATTTTTTAGGACCTGTTTTGTAATCTTTTTTCATAGTTAAATTAGGATTAAGAAATAGTATTTATTAAAAAAAAAGTATATGTAAATTTTAGTAGGTTTTATAGATTTAAAAAAAGACCTCAATTTTCAGCATTAACTGATTTCAGCATTAGTCCTACAATTATTATATATATTCTTTTATTTAAATATAGTCAGACCCTCTAAATGCACTCTTTTTAAATGCAGCACTCTTCTAAATACATGATATAAGCCTGAGCTCATGGTAGGATTTATAGATAAATGCATATTCTTTATTCTGTAAATGCATGCTAATTGTCTGGCCTACTTATACAAACTTCTTCCATAAATGCATCTATGTGATTATCAACCAATTAACTCTATTATTCTAAACTACTAAAGTTATATTTATCACGTGTTAATAGTTACATTGTGATTTTATTGGTGTTTTTTAATTGCAACCCTCCCTAAATAATGTTTTAAAGCTAGTCCCAATGACATGCATTTAGAGAGGTCTAACTGAATTAAAAAAATATAAAAATAAATTTAAATATAAGAAAAAAATAAATATAAAATAATAAATAAAATTAAAAATATCTAAATAATTTTTAATTAATTTAATTAGTTAATGATTAAAATTTTTAAAAGCATTTAATCAATATTTTATTATTATAAATAATATAATCAATACTATTTATTATAATATATTCTTTAATTATAATATATATTCAGAAAAATAATTTTTATATAAAATAATAATTATACTAAATTTAAAAAATATAAAATAAATAGTTAAATAAAAATAAACTTCATTAATAATTAATTTTTTAATAGCTAAAGTTGTAAATTTTGTAAAGTTTGTTTATTTTTTTCAATAATCTTCTCATTAACAATAACAAAAAATTGTACTATAGAAAAATGATATAGTAGACTTTCTAAATTATTTAGCATTCAAACTAGAAGGATATTCTAAAAACTGGTCTTATATTTATATAGGTTGTTGTTGATAAAGTTCAAAAGATGTAATACACCAAGGTGCAGATATAATTTAGATAGTTTTCTTAAAGTTAAATTTTTTTGTATTTCTTTTGATAAACTTTCTAAGTTATTCAGCATTTAAACCAAAAAAGCTATTCTAGAAACAAGTAGTAGTTAAAAAACTCTTGCTAATAAAGTTAAAGCTTGAAGAATTGCTTATATAACTATAAAACTTATAGAAGAATCTTATATATTCTTATTGGCTCTTTACTTTTTTTTAGAAAAAATTTTATAAAAAAGTGGGCAATTTAGCTTACTCTTTCCAAAAAATCAATATATTGTTTATTTACCAAATTAGTTGCATTGTTTACTTTTTATCTATTACAACAAACATGTGAATTATATAGAATGTAGACATATGGATTACATATCTCAAATGTGGCAACCTGAACAAACAATGAGTCAAAACTATTGGTATGAAATATTGACCTTTTTGACTTCTTTATAATGTTGATATCAAAGAAGCTATTTTTTTTATCCTGTTAGAAGTTTTTTCTTATCTTAGATATACTATATATAAAACTAAAGTAGAGACTAGTTTAAATAATAGTATGTAATTTTTATAGAGCTCAACACAGGCTTATAATTGTGACCATCTGGTACAAGTAAAAATCCTATATTTAGCTTAGATTTTTTTTAGTTTTTTTCTTACTTCTTTCTTTTTTGTTTATACATTTTTAATGTTATCTCCTATATCTCTGTATTGTTTTAAATTTTTTGTTCTTCTGCTTTTCTACAAAAAGATGTTGGTTATACTACAGAATCTTAATATTCAAAATCACGATATACAAAATTCTGATAAACAAAATCCTGACATCAAAATTCTAACACTACCAAAATACTAATAGTAGTACTATTAAGATTTTGGTAGTATTGAAATTTTGTTATCAGGATTTTGTTTGTGAAGATTTTGTATATCAGGATTTTGAATATCGGGATTCAGTAATATAACTAAAGATGACATCAAATTGGCAATATCTTATTG